ATGGAGCGTGGGGACAGGCTGGATGGGATGTGGGAGATGGGGAGCACCACAGCCCCTCTCGGTCCACAACGAATGCTGCAAAAGGCATCAGGGCCCAGCTCCCCCTCCCGGCTGGAACGTGCAGAAGGAACAAAGTGCTCCTTACGTAGCTCCTTTCATTGGGGGTGGGGGTGGGGGTGAGGGTGGGAGTAGGGGTGGGGGTGGGGTTGGTGTCAATCAGCTCGATAGCTGCATTGGAATACAGAGAGATACCAGTAATGTGAGATCAATTCCCACACTGGCTGAGGTTACCATGAAGGACCCTCCTTCTCACCCTCTCCCCTCTACCTGAGGCATGGTGACCCTCAGGTTAAACCACCACCAGTCATCGAGTCATAATCATAGAGCACGGAAACAGACCCTTCAGTCCAACTTGTCCATGCTGACAGGTTTCATGAACTGATCTGGTTCCATTTGCCAGTATTTGGCCCATATCCCTCTAAACCCTTCCCTATCCATGTACCTATCCAAATGTTCTTTAAATGTTGTAATTGTACCAGCCTCCACCACTTCCTCTGGCAGCTCATTTCACACACGCACCACCCTCTGTGTGAAATAGTTGCCCCTGAGGTCCCATTTAAATCTTTCCCCTCTCAACTTAAACCCATGCCTCTAGTTTTGGACTCCCCTACCTTGAGGAAAAGACCTTGGATACTCACCCTATCCATGCCCCTCATGATTTTATAAACCTCTAAAAGGTCACCCCCCCAAGCCTCTGACGCTCCAGGGAAAATAACCCCAGCCTATTCAGCATCTCCCTATAGCTCAAACCCTCCAACCCTGACAACATCCTTGTAAATCGTTTGCTTACTGTTCTATTCCTCGCACTTCATTGAAGCCATGTATAACCAATATCATTCATCTCTCTGTAATAAGTGAGCAGCCCTGTAATTTGATAAGACTATAAGACATAGGAGCAGAAATTAGGCCATTCAGCCCATCTGAGTCTGCTCCGCCATTCATTCATGGCTGATAAGTTTCTCAACCCCATTCTCCCGCTTTCTCCCCATAACCCTTGATCCCCTTGATAATCAAGAACCTATCTATCTCAGTCTTAAATGTACTCAATGACCTGGCCTCCACAGCCTTCTGTGGCGGTGAATTCCATAGATTCAACACGCTCTGGTTGAAGAAATTTCTCCTTATCTCCGTTCTAAAAGGTCTTCCCTTTACTCTAAGGCTGTGCCCTCGGGTCCTAGTCTCTCCTACCAATGGAAGCATCTTCCCAACATCCACCCTGTCCAGGCCATTCAGTATCTGTAAGTTTCAATTAGATCCCCCCCTCATCCTTCTAAACTCCATTGAGTATAGACCCAGAGTCCTCAAACGTTCCTCATATGTTAAGCTTTCCATTCCTGGGACTATTTTTGTGAACCTCCTCTGAACCCGCTCCAGGGCCAGTACATCCTTCCTGAGATATGGGGCCCAAAGCTGCATGCAATACTCCAAATGTGGCCTGACCAGAGCCTTATAAAGCCTCAGAAGTACATCCCTGTTTTTATATTCAAGTCCTCTCAAAATAAATGCCAACATTGCATTTGCCTTCCTGACTACTGACTCAACCTGCAAGTTTACCTTGAGAGAATCCTGGACTAGAACTCTCAAGTCTCTTTGCACTTCAGACTTCTGAATTTTCTCCCCATTTAGAAAATAGTCCATGCTTTTATTCTTCATAACAAAGTGCACGACCTCACACTTTCCCACGTTGTACTCCATCTGCCACTTCTTTGCCCACTCTCCTAACCTGTCCAAATCCTTCTACAGCCTCCCCACCTCCTCAATACTACCTGTCCCTCCACCTATCTTTGTATCGTCTGCAAACTTAGCCAGAATGCCCACAGTTCCTTCATCTAGATCATTAATGTATAAAGTGAAAATTTGTGGTCCCAAGACAATGGTGACTTTAGCTTCACAATATCCCAAAGTAATTCACAGTGAGCAAAACCTTTCTGGCAGCACAGTCACTGTAGTAATGCCGAAAGCAGGGCAGCCATGTGAGCACAGCAAGATCCCACAATCAGCAATATGCTAATGACAATGAAATCTGCTACAGTGATGTTGGTGGAGTGATAAATATTGGCCCCAGGCCAGAACACAGTGAAATCTGGCTCATCACTCCACTACAACAGTCTGTAATTGACTGTACTTCTCTAACACCAGCCTCTTGTGGATTCTCCATTTTAATCATTCCTCTATTGACAGCTGTAATTCCAGCTGCCTGGTCCCTGAGCAGTGGAACTCCCTCCTTAAACCATGCTGCCTCTCTCTCTCTCTCCACCTCTGTCTATCTCTCCACGACTGTCTCATCATCTCTCTGCCTGTATCTCTCTCCACCACTTTGTCTGCCTCTCTCTTTTCACCTCTCTGCCTCTCTCACTCTGTCTCTCTACCTCTGTCTCTCTCTTTGCCTGTCTCTTTCCACATCTTTGCCCCTCTTTTCACCCCTCTGCTCCTCTCATTCTATCTCTCTGCCTCTCTCACTCTATCTCCCTGCCTCTCTCATTCTATCTCCCTGCTTCTCTCACTTTATCTCTCTGCCTCTCACTCTATCTCTCCATGCCCCTTTGCCTCTGTCTTTCCACATCTCTGTCTCTCTCTCCCCATGTCACTGACCCCCTCTCTCTGTCTCCACCTCACTCTATGCCTCTCTCTCTCCACCTCACTTTCTGCCTTCTCTTGACCTCACACACACTCTCTCTCTCCGCATTTCTGCTCCCCCCTCTCTCTCTCGCTCTCTTTCTCTCCACCTCACTCTCTCTTCTCTCTCCAATTTACAATATTTGAGGACAGGGTGTAAATTTCACATCATGTAAAGCCTTGTGTTAGGAATGGTTTCAGATGTAGATCCAGTCACTTCATGATGTGGAGGTGACGGTGTTGGACTGGGGTAGAGAAAGTCGGAAGTCACACGACAGCAGGTTATAGTCTGCACGCAGTCTCTTACTAAAGCAGTGAAACAAAGAAAGCTGCGGCTAGTGATGTTATTTGTCAGAAACGAACAAACGGTTTTTCACCGATTTGGACAGGAAACTAACAAGTTTGGGAAGTGTGTATGAAATGTCTCGCACTTGTACAGTTACGAGCATTACCTTCAGTTAAGTTCATCACTGCTGCTACAGCTGACTCGATTAAAGATAAAACTCATATTAATCAGCTAACCTCGGAGTCTCAGTCTGAATAGTGCACAGCTGGGAAAATACATTTTTTAAAAAGTTAGTTTGAAATTAAACCACTTCCTATCTCGTTTTAACCCAATGAAGTAACAGCTTTAATAAGCCTGACTCAGATTGCTGTAGACACAGACAGAAGCTGACACTCAGAGAACGACACAGTGAGAAGTCTAGATTAGGAGAGAGAGGGAAAGAGAGAGAAAACAGAAAGAAAAGAGAGAGAAAGATTGAGAAGAGAGACATTGGGAGAGAGACATAATGCACAACATTTTGAAACTGGTTGTCATTACCTAGTTCCTACATTGAGGTAAGATTTTTAAACAAATCAATTTTATTGGTTGTTAAGTGCTATGGAATATTCCGAGGCTGTAAAAGGAGGGTTTTTTTTAATCACTGTAAGTTTGATAATTGTTTTCTTTCATGATTATTTTCAAAAATTAAATTCAGTGACAGCAATTTCAAAGTATAATTATCTGCCAGTGCTTATAAAGTTCTTGAATGGGTTTAGATCTAACTACAGTTTATATGGAAAAGCTCAAAACTGGAGAGGAGAAATGAAAATCAAAACAAAATGCAAACAGATTGGAGAAGGCAGTACGTGACAATCTGCACTGTGACAATTTCCAAACCTTTAATGGGGACCATTTAACCAGCTAGCTCTGTAAATAGCTCAACTCAAGAACACTTCATGACACTCACCAGACTTCATAGAAATAATTATCTGTTTCTGTGGCAGAATTTTTCTCTGTTTGTTTCTGCATGACTGTATTCCTTAACTTTCCACAGTTAAAATGTTTAAAGGGGGTTATTCAGCCCATCAGGCCAGTTCTACCATTTACCAGGATCATGGATGATCTTCTACCTCGATACCATAGTAACAGGAGCAGAGGTAGGCCATTCCTCCCATCGAGTCTGCTCCTCTATTCAGCTCCTCTGCTCTTCCTGCCAAAGTGCATAACTTCACCTGTTCCCCATCTGCTTAAGCCTTGGTCCAATTGTCCCATGTCACTACTCTCCCACTCCCTCCCTGTGGCCCTTAATTTTCAGGGTATTCACAAACCTGTTAAACTCAGCGACAGAGCATTGATCTCACTCTGGGGGAGAGAACTCCAAAGCTTCACCAGCCTCTGTGTGAAAAAATTCCTCCTCATCTCAGTCTTGCACTGAGACAGTGCATTCTGTTCCTGACGAAACCACCTCCTACCATGACCCTGTCAAGCCAATGGATTGTCAGACAGGCTCTGGACAGTGATCATAGAATCCCTATCCCTACAGTGTGGAAGCAGGCCATTTGGCCCATCGAGTCCACTCTGATGCTCCAAAGAGCATCCCACCCAGACCCACTACCCTACCCTATTCTGTAACCCTGTATTTCCCATGGCTAACCCATGCAGCCTGCACATTGATAGACACCATGGGACAATTTAGCACGGCTAACCCATCCTAACCTGCACAGCTTTGGACTGTGGGAAGAAACCAGAGCACTCAGACGTAGGGAGAAATGTGTAAACTCCACACAGTCACCTTACAAGCCACCAGCTGAATCCAGTGGACCGCTGGCAGTATTTTGGAATGAATCAAAATGATGCTTTTTTTTCTAAACGGAGATCAGCGCATTAAGGAAATCTCCAGGCCCTGTGAACGGTGCGTCACATCCCTGGTTGTGGGAGTTAGTTTGAGTTGAGGAAGGGTTGGAACCACCTCCAGCTCTCTGAGGAAGTGTCTTTCCAAAGGGAAAGTCCAGTTACGCAGTGAGCAGTGAATTTGACGAAATGCCGTGACAGATTTCCAGCGACAGGGTTGACTCAGAGCTGTGGTGGTGCCTCATGAGTCTCACTGAGAATGGACAAGACAGTTACTGAAGGTTAGAAAGCAAGATTATTTAACAGCAAATTACATAAGTGGAGGGAAAGCCCCTGAGATACAGTCATTGAGTCATAAAGAGGTACAGCACGTAATAGAACCTCCAGCCCAATGTGTCATGTTGACCAGATATCCTAAATTAATCTAGTCCCATTTGCCAGCATTTGGCCCATATCCCTCTAAACCTTTCCTATTCATGTACCCATCCAGATGCCTTTTAAATGTTGTAATTGTACCAGCCTCCACCACTTCCTCTGGCAGCTCATTCCATACACGCACCACCCTCTGCGTGAAAAAGTTCCCCCTTAGGCCCTATTTAAATCTTTTCCCTCTTAGCTTAAACCTATGCCCCTCTAGTTTTGGACTCCCCTATCCCGGGGAAAACAACTTGTCTATTCAGCCTATCCATGCCCCTCATGATTTTATAAATCTCTAAAAGGTCACCCCATCAGCTCTGACACACCGGGGAAAATAGCCCCAGCCTCGTCAGCCTCTCCCTATAGCTCAAACCCTCCAACCCTGGCAACATTATTGTAAAATTCTTTCTGAACCCCTTCATGTTTCACATCATCCTTCCTATAGCAAGAAGACCAGAAATGGATTCCAAAAGTGGCCGAATCAATGATCTGTACAGTTGCAACATGACTTCCCAACTCCTATATTCAATCCACTGACCAATAAAGGCAAGCGTACCAAATGCCTTTCTACCCATCCCATTTACCTGTGACTCCACTTTCAAGGACCTATGAACCTGTACTCCTAAGTCTCTTTGTTCGGCAACACTCCCCAGGACCTTACCATTAACTATGTCAGTCCTGCCCTGATTTGCAAAATGCAGCACCTCACATTTACCTAAATTAAACCCCATCTGAAACTCCTCAGCCCTTCGGCCCATCTGATCAAGTTCTCAAATGTGATTGTGGGGTGGTAATTGATGGTTGGGGAGGGGGAATGATTGCCTTGTATTTGTCTTGAAGTATATCTGGTGAGGTGCCAACTCTGAGACACCAACTCTGGCAGATCCCTGGCCATATTCTCCCATCTCTTATGGGGCCATCCCTGAATTTGTTGCTAAGAAAGCATCAATATCTCTCCAACTTCCCCAGGCTTCTCGCTAATTTAACAGTTTCTGTGGCATGGTGTAAACGCGACAATAGATCCCTCCTTCCTCCTCGAACTCAAAAAAAGAGGAAGAAGCAGGTTCAGAGGAGACAGAACATTTTGAGAGGAAGGTCAGCAGTGAGATTTCCAGTGGGTAATGGAGCACGAGCCTAAACTGTTTCTGGAAACTGTTGTTGGTGAGTAACAGGCAAGTTTTGCAAAATTGTTCAGGGAGCAGTGAGCATCAGAAGCTTCATGTTAGCATTAAAGGTACCTGACATTGTAAGGATTAATTAACCTAAAGGGGATAACACAGGGCAAGAGTGCTCCATATTGTAGTCTGCTTCTCTTGCTTGATGTGGGAAGCTGGGCACATTCCCAGGGCCTGGAATCTGCATGTGTGCAAGAAGTGTCTCCAGCTGCACCCCCAGGAAGCCCGAGTTTTGGAGTTGGAGCGGCTCCTGGGGACACTGTGGAGCATTCGCGAGGCGGAGTGTCGTGATCAGCACGTATAGAGAGGTGGTCACAGCACAGGCTCAGAATCTACAGGTAGGACGGGAATGGGTGACCACCAGGCAGAGCAGGAGGGCTAAGCAGGTAGTGCAGGAATCTCCTGCTAAACAGGTTTAATGTTTTGGATAGTGTTGAGGGGAATGGCAGCAGCAGGCAAATTAATGGGACCCTGGTTGGCTTTGCTGCCAAGGGAGGGAGAGATAGGTATAGAAATACAATAGTTGTAGAGGATTCAATTGTAAGGGGAATAGATAGGTGTTTCTGTGGCTGCAAATAAGAGCCCGGGATGGTGTGTTGCCTCCCTGGTACTAGGGTCCTGGATGTCTCACAGCAGTTGCAGGACTTTCTGGAGTGGGAGGGTAAACAGCTAGTGGTTGTGGTACATGTTGGTACTAACAACATAGGTTTAAAAAAAGGGGGATGAGGCCTAAAAACAGAATATAGAGAATTAGGAAGAAAGTTGAAATGTAGAATCTCAAAGGTAGTTATCTCAGGATTACTACCAGTGCCACGAGCTAGTTGGAGTAGAAACAGCGGGATATATAGGATGAACAGGTGGCTGAAAGATGGTGTGGGGAGTAGGGTTTCGGATTCGTGGGGCATTGGGAACGGTTCTGGGGAAGGTGAATCCTGTACAAACTGGACGGGTTACACCTGGGCAGGACCAGGACTGATGTCCTTGGGGGGGATATTTGGCCGTGTGATCGGGTAGGGTTTTAGATCATTGCAGGAGGGGGATGGGAACCAGAGGAGTACGGTAGTAGACGCAGAACTTGAGGGAGCGGTAGAAACCAAGGCAAATATGACTAAGAACAAGAACAGGCAGGGAAACACTGCTCAATATAGTGGGGCGGGGGGGAGTTGGTCTGAAATGCATGTATTTCAATGTGAGAAGTATAATGGGCAAGGTAGATGACCTTAGAACTTTGGTTAGTACGTGGAACTGTGATATTATTGCAATTACAGAGACTTGGCTGAAAGAGAGACAGGACTGGCAGCGGAATGTCCCAGGATTTAGATGTTTCAGGTGTGATAGAAGGGGATGTAAAAGGGGTGGGGGAGTTGCATTATTGATAAAGGAGTATCTCACAGCTGTACAGAGGAAGCGTACATCAGAGGACTTGTGCAGCGAAGCAATGTGGGTAGAATTCAGGAATAGGAAAGGTGAAATCACAGGGATGGGGGTATACTACAGGCCTCCCAATGGCCAGCAGGAGATAGAGCAGAGAATATGTAGGCAGATTTTGGAATGTTGTATAAACAGTCACATTGTTGTGGTGGGTGATTTTAACTTCCTCTGTATTGACTGGGACTCACTATGTGCTAGGGGCTTTGATGAGGCGGAATTTGTAAGGACCATTCAGGAGGGATTCTTGACGCAGTACGTAAACAGTCCAACCAGGGAATGGGTTATCCTGGACCTGGGTTTGGGAAATGAGCCCGGCTGTGTGAGTAAAGTTTCAGTGGGGGAGCATTTTGGGAATAGTGACCATAATACCGTGAGTTTTAAGATACTCATGGATAGCCATAACAGCAGTTCTCGGGTGAAGGTGTTAAATTAGGGGAAGGTGAACTGGAGAATTTTGATTGGAGGTGGCTGTTTTAGAGTAAATCTATATCGGACATGTGGGAGTATTTCAAACTGCAGTTGGTAAGAGTTCAGGAGCAGCACATTCCTGTGAGAATGAAGGATGGGTTTGGCAAGTTATGTGAACCTTGGATGACCAGGGATGTTCTGACCTTGGTCAGAAAGGAAAAGGAACGATATACGAGGTCGAGGAGCATGGGAACGGATGAAGCCCTTGATGTATATAAGGAAAGTAGGAAAGAACTTAAACAAGGAATTCGAAGGGCTTTAAAGGGTCATGAAAAGTCATTAGCAAACAGGATTAAGGAGAATCCTAAGGCAGAGAAAGGAAAAGGAAAGAAGACAGGGAAGGGTTGGCCCACTCAGGGACAAAGGAGAGAATCTGTATGTGGGCCAGAAGGGGTAGGTGAGGTCCTAAATGAATACTTTGTGTCAATATTCAGCAAAGAGAAGGAACTGATGGGAGATGATCTCAGGAAGGGGAGTGTTGAGTTTCGAAGCCAAGTTGCTATTAACAAGTATTAAGGTAGATAAGTCCCTGGGTCCTGATAGGATCTGTCCCAGAATATTGAGCGAGGCAAGACAACAAATTGCTGGAGCAACGACGAACATCTTTGTATCCTCTTTGACAGAATAACCAATGTTGTCCCAGTGTTTTAGAAGGGTAGCAGGGATTATCCAGGAAATTACAGGCCTGTGAGTGGTCAGGAAATTATTGGGAAAGATTTTCGGGGACAAGATCTATACACATAGAGAAGCAAATGGACTTATTAGCGATAGACAGCATGGTTTTGTGCAGGGAGGTTGTGCCTCACTAACTTGAT